TCTCCTCGCTGGAAGTCTCAGACCTCCAGCCGCCCGCCTCCGCCTTGATTAAACGCTGAAAATAAAATAAAAGAGGGAGACAGGTTTTTCCTATTTTATCTTATTTTGTTTTATTCCTCCCTCTCCTCTCGCTAGAAGCGTCGGACCTCCCGCCTCCCGTCTCAAACACGGAGGTCTCCCTCTCTGCAGCTGAGCACCCACGGCGCACGCCCGGCCTGTTAAATAGCCTGTAACCACTGTGTGACACAAACTCAGTGCTTTGGTCATTAAATAATGTCGGGCTTGGTTCGGGTTCGGACAGAAATATGCTGCCCATGCCGCACTCTAACACACACACACACAAACACACGGAAAACCGGACATTATCATCAGTTTATAAAAACCCCCCGGACGCCCCGGACGGGACGTGAAAAGTGGACATGTCCGGGCAAAAGAGGACGTTTGGTCAGCCTACTTCAGCCTTACCAGCTGACCGCTGCGTTTACCCCAGCGGCAGTGGTGCTTACGCCGGAGAGGTGGAGCTGGGGCGAGGCAGAGGTGAGCTGGGATCCCCGATAGGAGAGGGGCAAAGTTTTCCCGTCTTGTTGTTTCATTCATCCCCAAAAACAAACACATGCACGAGCCAGGTAAGCGTCTTTACGACAATACGCACTAGAGCTCATGGGAAATGTAGGCTTCATTCCGGCAAAACACTACCGCTTTTGTCCACAGGGTCGCCAAAATCAACTCCAAATGAAAGTTCCTTGTAGGGGCTTTAAAAAAATAACTTAAATATACATTAATTTTTCAATCAAAATAATTTAAGATCACCATCTCAAAATAATGAAAACAGCAGATTTTTGATACCAATAAATGAACAGCACTAAATCCTACAGAACACTGACCCAAATTACCTACAGTTTTGTATCACCACCACTAGATTAAATACATTAGATACATGTTTTTGTGTGTGTGTGTGTGTGTGTGTCTGTGTTTGTGTGTGTGTGTGTTTGCAAGCTGCTCAAATAAATTGCCCTTCATGGGAATATTAAAGTCTGTATCTATAGTCGTCATTTAACTGCCATAATTCAATCTAAATGAAAGCATCTACATCTATCATCTATCTTTAATACAGGCTGAGTTAGGCTACTTATTGTTTCCAACTGTCCACCATCCAGTACAAACAGTTGTAGGCTGTTTTTGTTTCATAATATTCATTATGTGGAAAAATAATTTGTTTGAATTTCTGTCATTAAAAAACAGCCGGACTGGGTGAGAAGACAGACATCAGAGTTCTGGATATACTGGAGTTTATTTAGGACTTTGGATGATGCATGATAATGATGATTATGAGGTTCACTCTTAGAATTTTAATTGAATAGCCTACCCCTGCTCTCCAGTAAAGGAGGCATAGCACAACTAGGCTACTGCTAAATGAATAAGTAATTCAATAAAAAAAGACAATATATTTGCTTTTGATGGTGTGGTTATTTGAAAAAAATAACAATGAGGATCTGGGACAGCAATCAGATTAGTTAGCGTTGCATGTTATTGCAATAACTGCTTTAGTTTGATCGGATGTTAAAAACTGCTGTGATCAGCTATGAAGATGGCATGCAGCATGTGTACTGTACCCCATAGCCGTCAAGGTGGAGGAGCAACACATAAATGACAACTGATGATTCATAATGAGAAAAATGATATAATACATGAGAATACACAAGACAGACATATTGTTGTAAGTACTTTGTACAGTACTTATTCTAATATTGTATTTTCTGCAGTGTGAAACATTACATAGACAAAACTTTAATTATCGCCCAGCTAACTGCTCATGTTTTGAAAATCAGTGGATTTGAGTTTTAGAGTTCCTGTTTGAGCTTAGAAACAGCAGCTGAAATCATTTCACACAGTCCTCATGAGGATCAATACTGAGCTCAACTTTTCAATCAACATGGATGAGAAGTCCGAGAAGTTCAATTCAGCAATTTAGGATTTTGAATTGATATTGGGTGCTACGATAAAATCAAAGACTTATTACTGATGACCCTCAAACAGCAGGGCCCTATTTCAGAAAGCAGGCTCAACAAACTCTGAGCCTAATACCAATCTCCGGGTAGACTGAACCTGAGATGAGAAAAAGCTGATCAGCATTAGATCAATCAACTCTGAGTATGTTTAGCTTGAGGGAAGCACGTTCACGGTGAGCACCAAAATACATTATAAATGGAGTGCAGATAACCTGATTTTCAGTGGCAGAAAGCGGAGTTAAAAGTAGAGCCACTTATTTCATGCCCGCTGAATCACAGATTTTAATGACGGCGAATGAAGACATGAAAAAAAAAACAAATCTATTTCGGCAGCTGCAGCTAAACAGTGTGAGGTGTGACGGGAAAAGATTGTAGAGCGTGTTAATAGGTAATGTAAAGTGACGTTATGTAATATGACGAGTTAATGCGTGTCTAATATACAGAAAATATAGAAACATTTTTATATCTTAACAGTGTTCATATATTTTGATGTAATTTACTATATTCTCTTATTCAGCTGTAATCTGATGGGCACTGGGCAGAAACTCAAAATCAAACACAAAGATATTGTACAGACTGGTAATTTTGCTTATACTTATGTCATTCTTGCAGTATTAGGCAGAGGGGACACACAGCAAAAGGCTGCAGGCTGGAATTGAACCCGTGGCCACTGCAGTAGCAGGGACTGTACAGTGCTGTGCAAGGGGCGCCCACCCCATCCACTAAACCACCGATGCCCTGTAGTATTTGTCTTTGATAATCCTTTCTGATTTATGCCCAGGGAAAACCACAAAAACAGGTAAAAGTCTTTTCAGAGCCAGAGTCACTTTTCTTATGGCCCGACAAACCGTTGCCTTGTTGATGTGTTCATTGTCTCTGATCAGGGGCGTAGCCATCATTTCAGAAGTGAGGGGGACAAATTGTTCAGAGGTCTATTGAGTGATTTATCATCCTCTCGCATTCAATTGCACCTCTCCTTGGCAGCGAAAGAACAACATAACCACAAACAGCCACAATACAGCACCAGCGGACTGACTTTAGTTCTTTAAAATTATATACTATCAAAATCTAAAGTTTTAGCTGCCACACTCTGGTTGAGTTGACACAGAATGACCCTCGAGCATCTACAGGGTAAGTAGCCAGATAATGGATAATGGGCGGCTGTGGCTCAGCGGTAGAGCGGGTTGTCCACCAATCAAAAGATCAGCGGTTCAATCCTGGGCTCCTCCAGGCTGTATGTCGAAGTATCCTTGAGCAAAAAAAAATATGTGCAAAGCAATAGTGAGCACAAGTTCTGCGCAGAAATTAAGGAGGAGTGGGTTTATTCCTATGGAGTAAGACAACTATCAAAAAGATGTGTGCATAATTTGAACCATTTGTATTCGTAATGTTAAACGATTTGTATGTCAATAAAATTGTTGTACACAAAATTCTGTTGTCATATATGTGAGTCTGTGAAATTGTTCAGGTTAGGATTGTTTTGTGAGTATGAATCTAAAAGCTGCAAGTGCAAAGTCTTGTGAATGCAACTCTAATTTCTACGACTATGAAGACCTCACTGTGAACACGAATTCAAGTTTGTGGGTACGAGTTGAAAAGTGTTGAAATTACGTCACTGAGGTCACAGGCAGGTCACAGGGGAAAGTAATCGAACCGCAATTCCTCCAAACGCGCATGCCCCAAAGGCAAAGATGACAGCGGACCGGGTGGAGCTGCCAGCTTATGTTACTGTGTCCTATTTCTGCAGTCCTGTAAATCATTCTTTAGACCAAACAGCCTACATCAAGAAATTTCTGATGTAAGCCACTAACAGCAGATTTGGAACAGAAGGACATACAGGTTTGACTCTGAGCTGAGGGTAAATGATGAAGGTATAGTGTACAGGTGAAGCCTAATCCACTGAATCGTGTCCAATAAGAACAACCCAAATGTGTCTTTATTTTTTGCTAATTTTTCATTTTCATTTCTGCCACACTATCAACACATGCTCATTCTTCCATACAGGTAGGCCTACGTGTGGTTCTGAAATGAAAAGTAAATACATGCTATCTATAACTAGGTTGTAAATAAACCAGAAACATCAAATTAAATGAATAGTATTAAATACATCTGCATCAATAACCTGGAAAATAAGCCAACAGTTCACAAAGAGACAAACCAGGCATACATTTAAGTACTCATGCTGCCATCTACTGGTGGAGAGTCAGCTTAACCTACTTCCACTCTGTTTTGCTCAGGCAACAGCACATTACGGTGGAAACCCAGTTAAATACCACTGCTAACAGTAACAACTATGCACACACAGTAATTGCTGGTAATTGTTGGTTAAACTATATTGCGAACTGTATTGCACCAAAAAATGCAAATCATTAATCTAAGACTTTACTCATGCTGTGTAGATGAATCAAATGCACAATATTAATCTACATGTAATCAATCCCTGTTTCCATTGGTCCATTTTTTTGTGTATTTATTTACTCACTAATTTGTCTGATTGATTAATTTATATTAATGTATTTTTCCTCAGATGTTACCCTGGTATGTGCTCACATAATGCTAATGTTACATAATGGCTATTGTATTCTCTTGGGTTTTATTTTGAAAGGCCCATATTTAGTTGGACTTCCAGGAAGCTCACCTGTCTTACTTTTCCTCACGTTCTTTTCAAGAGGAAAGATGAAAACAGGCATTGGAAGAAAATCCGTGTATAAGCCGTGTATCATTCGTTCATTTGTTTTTCAAAATAAAACCAAATACGAAAAAACAAAATGATGACTTGTTTTTTCAATATTTGTTTCCAGAACCAAAATGAAAAAACGGATTAACGCCTCCTTTTCCGATTTCTGATTTTCTGTTTAAATGGAACATGGAAAAAACGGATAACGGGCCGGATTCGGGCCTTTCATACACTTTCAATATTTTCATCTCTCCGGAAGCCAAGTTTTTTTCTTTTGCAAGCACTGGTTTCTTGCCGGACCGGTCAGAGTGACAACTACATCCGGTTCATGGGAGCTAACGCTTTGGCTAACAACCGCTGCGTGTGGAGGCTGCAAATTTGGAGAAATTGTTCAATATGAGGTAAGTTGTGCTAAGGTAACAATACGTGCCAGCTTACTGTTTGCTTCTACAGCTGACATATTGGAATAGACTTCATGTGGCGAGTAATTTTTACGTTATTTGAAGATTTGTTTGTCGCGACTTGTGATTTCGCCACATTCAGCCATAACGGCATAATGCTGTATTTAGGTGGATTTCAGCACTCACATGCATTTTCTTTGGGAAATGCCACTCTAGTTAATTTCTATAATATTATAAAAGTAGCATGCTGGGATAGAAATGCATTTTTTGTACTTTTCCACAACACAGAACAAAATGAATGCATCAATGTTCAATGGGAAGCGACCGGGTGGACTTCAAACCAGGGTCCCACCAGTCTAAAGTGACGACAGCTGTCTTGACAGTGGGGATAGTGATGAAGACTACACTCCTACACCACGTCGGCACTATCCACTAAGCTACCGACGCCCCCATTGCTGCCGGTTTCATCATCTGGTCAGGAGTGTAGTCTGTACGCAGCATGCACATACCCCATGCACAGAGGCACTGCCTTGCCGCAGCGGTCGCGGGCTTCCTAGCACCAGTGTTCTAGGTGAAAAGCTTGAGCTCTGTTTCAGATTGGATTATAATAGTTGGTGTTAAAGTCAGGACATTGAAAATAATTGTGTGGCATCAATAAAATCTACATACCTGAGACGGGAAAATGTGTTTTAATATTTATTTATTTATTTATTTATTTTACCATTTTTTCCATTTATTCCTGTTGTTGCTAATTTGTATCATACCTAAATGTACGTACATTTAGTACAAGTATTTGTTATTGTTAAAATAACATATTTGTTAAAATATTACGTTGCAACCAAGTACTGTATGGTTTTGACATTTTTCTAGCTTGTTAAAAAGGGACATACAGTAAAAAAAAAAAAAAAAAAAAATCTCAAATTTTAGGGGTTCTGGGATTCAATTTAGGGGTGCTTCAGCACCCCCAAAAATGGCCTAGAAACACCTAGGTTTCCACCGTAATGTGCTGTTGCCTGAGCGAAACAGAGTGGAAGTAGGTTAAGCTGACTCTCCACCAGTAGATGGCAGTATGAGTACTTAAATGTATGCCTGGTTTGTCTTTTTGTGAACTGTTGGCTTATTTTCCAGGTTATTGATGCAGATGTATTTAATACTATTCATTTAATTTGATGTTTCTGGTTTATTTACAACCTAGTTATAGATAGCATGTATTTACTTTTCATTTCAGAACCACACATAGGCCTACCTGTATGGAAGAATGAGCATGTGTTGATAGTGTGGCAGAAATGAAAATGAAAAATTAACGAAAAATAAAGACACATTTGGGTTGTTCTTATTGGACACGATTCAGTGGATCAGGCTTCAGTTCGTAGTCGTAGAAATTAGAGCTGTATTCACAAGACTTTGCATTCACAGCTTTTAGATTCATACTCACATAAAAACAATCCTAACCTGAGCAATTTCACAGACTCACGTGTATGACAGCAGAATTGTACTACAACAATTTTATTGATTGTTTAACATTACGAATACGAATGGTTAAAATTATGCACACATCTTTTTGATAGTTGTCTTACACCATATATTCCTGGATTTTACAATGACTGGATGGAAAGAGATATTTGGTCTGTCATCCATTTGTTAGATGTTTCTGGTGATATCTTTTGAGGATTTCTGTATGAAATTTAATATCCAGTGTAAATGTAAACAATTTAATAAAGTTATTAAAAGTTTACCTGTTTCTTTTATGAGGATGGTTAAAAATACACAAACTCATCTAACTGTACCTCCACATCTCCCCAAACTGATCATTGACAGTCAAGATTTCTCAGTTGAGACTTTGTCTAACAACGTAATTCGTGGTCTCTTCACAAACGTTCTCTATCCTATGCAGTTCAGTAGGAACGCAGCTTCTCAAAGTTTTTGTCTGCCTACTTTAAAGAAATTACGCACAAGTTACTTAAATTACTTTTACCTCCAAAAGCCAAGAACTCCACTTTAAAATATTTAATGATATATACCCTTCAGAAGAACTTCTTAGACAAAGATTTAACATTGATCACAATAACTGCATATTCTGTGATGAGGACACAGAGACCACGGATCACTTGTTCATTTTCTGTGTTTATAGTAATACTTTTTGGAGTGACATGTATGATTGGCTAGAGCCAAAACTTATATCTCTCCCCCAATTTTCAAGAAATGATATTACGTTTGGAATGACAATAGAGGATAAAGACACTAACATTCTTTTGAACACTTTATTTATTTTAGGGAAATTCTTTATTCACAAATGTAAATGCATTAAAACACAACCCCTTTTTTGGTATTTAAAAGAGAACTGACTTTGTACTGTAAAGCTTTGAAGCACATGAAAAAGAAACTGGCAAAAAGTCTTCTGTACACTATTAATAACATTAGCCTATATTCCTGGCATGAAACTAGCTAGCAAGCGATTTAACATAGGTAACAATAACATTATTATTCTTGTTAACTAGCTTAACTTGATATATTGGCATCTATTAATTAGTCATCATTTAGCTCATTTAACATCATTTAACGTTATCTACATGCAACAGCATTACTCAACTTACACGCTTGTTTGGAACAAAATGTGCAAGGTTTTTTGCTTCTTGCTGGCTGGTTTGCTGAACATAGTTAACACAAAGCAACACTTCCCAGCAGCACACGTCTGGTCTATGCGATTGATTCAGATCACAACAGGACAGCATGTGTGTGCGCCTTGCGCCATCTACTCATAGTGCGTTTCAAGACGGCTGGGAAAAACACGTTATCACATGTTAAAAACGAATTGAACGGTTGTAACAGCTTTAAAAGGTGCGGGGACAGAGGACTCAGATACGGGAAGTGCGGGGGACATGTCCAACGCGTACCCCGTGTCCGCTACGCCGATGTCTCTGATGTTGTAAAGAAAACTGCCACCGCCGAAGAATCAAAGGGCAATGCACAAAATTTGCTCAGATGATAATGCAAATCTACGATCTGGGTGGAACAGATTGTTAGATAAATGAAAGTGTGAGGTGAAATCGTATCTTTCAAATAGACACTCCTCCAGGGAGAAATCCAAATGGGATGTTATCACCTTCTCCTTATGCAACAGCCTCTGAATAAACTGTGCCTCAACGTCCACGACTTTATTCACAAAAGGACACGCCATGTCTCTCCTTCCTGCTACATGCTCAGCAGGCGATCGGGAACTACCCATTGGTTCGACATCCCATTGTTCGACCATATTAAACCCATTGTTCCGAAGTCCATTCCGAAATCATCATGATGCCCTCTGGTTAAGGTTTGGTTAGGTTTAGGCACAAAAACCACTTGGTTAGGGTCAGGAAAAGATCATGGTGTGGGTTAAAATGAAAAAGAAAGTGACAAACACATAAGCAGTGAGCCTGCTCCGCCTCAAGGTTTTCCTACCTGACCCAGAGCCGGTCGCGGCGCACCATACGCCCGCCGCGAGCCGTTCAGCACCGCGGACAGTCGGACTAATGGGATGTCGAACCAATGGGCTGTCGGACCAGTAACATGGACCCAGGCGATCGGCCTCAGGCTTAGATGAAGCAAACCTGTGAGCCAGCAGTTTTGTTTTACGGAGTATGTTGCCAGAAACTAGAAACTGACTCAGGGTTACACTGAACTGTTGACCTCCAGTTGTTCAGCTTCTCATCTTACTGCAGTGATGTAGGCTAGACCTGCACCCCAGACTGTGTCAATACACCGTGACATCACTGCTGGGTGTGGTTACAGGTGTAACAGAGCTTATTAGTGATGCTGGCTGTAATTAGAGCACACTTGAAACATACAACCAGAGAAAACTCTACTTTCCAGTCTGGTGTTAAGTAATCTCTCAAGACAGATTATGCAATTTACATTGTAGAATCTGATCGGCAGCCCTGTGTGAAAGACGACTACAGAAGGGGGGGGAGGGTGGGGCTTTGAGTTTGAACTGCTGCGCTTTAGCCAATCACAATGGAGGGGGCGGGGCCGAGACGTGCAGGTGTCCCCAGGAAATGTGTACCTACAAAAACAGCAAGCTCCGTGTCCATGGCGACCGCTCCACCCGAAACGCCGTCTCGTCAACGTGAAAAAAATTTTTTTCCAGCGGATGTCTTAGTTACAACATGATTGAGCTGACTGGAGTAATTTCAGGAGGCTTTTAACAGATGACGTCCTGATGTTAGCTTTGCTGCTGCTGTTAGCTGTCCCTGTCAGCTGCAGCCACAGATGCTCGATCATGATTTCCCAAAACTGAATAAATACCACACATAGCAACACAAAACTGCTTTGCTAGCTCAATCATGTTGTAACTAAGATATCCGTTGGAAAAAAAAAAAATTTCACGGTCCGTTTATTGAGTTACTGAGTTACTACAGACACCGCTAACGGGGCTAACAGCTAACGGTTAGCCCAGCTAATCTACATAACCATGTTATTAATTACAAAACGTGTACACAGAAATAGTAATGTTTGTTCAATCATTGTGTTTATAGACTTTACAAACATCAGATTAGTCTAAACGGTGATATAGTGACGTGAAAAATGTGATATATATCTATATATCTGCCTGTTTCTCCTGTTTTTTTTTTTGTTTTGTTTTGTTTGTATGTTTGTTTGTTTGCTTGTTTGTTTGTTTTCTCCTTCTTCTCTGCATGCATTGTCGCTATATAACTCAGGACTTAAGCACCTGTCCCTCAATCCCCCCTGTCTGTCCCTTACTTTCCCCTTGACACACTACGGTGTATCACGGCCCTCTCTGGCTCGTATTAGGAAGTTTTTCCAATAAAGACTGATAGGCTAGTCTCCAGGGAGGGTGAGTGACAGTCACAACCACGCACAGTATGGGTATAAAATACTTGACTGCAAGATTAACAGTGCATCAGTCTTCATAAAAAGCTTACACCCTTTTGTGGCGCTAAGCTACTAAGACTAATGCAGACAGGTTTGAAAAAAAAAAAAAGAAAAGAAAAACTACGGGCAGTGCCTCCAGAGGTAAAGGAAGAAAAAAAATATCCTATTTTTTTGTTTGTTGTTGTTTGTTTTTTACTGATGGATTTCCAGATTGAGTGTTAAATTACCCTTTAAAGGGACAGTTCAGCCCTAAATCAAAAATACACATTTTTCCTCTTACCTGTAGTGCTATTTATCAGTCTAGATTATTTTGGTGAGAGCTGCAGAGTATTGGAGATATCAGCTATAGAGATGTCTGCCTTCTCTCAATATAATGCAACCAGATGGCATGTGGCTTGTAGTGCTCAAAGCCCCCCCAGACATTATGTAAAAGAACTGTTAAACCACATTAACCCCAAATACTGTATTTTCTCACTCAGCGGGAAAACTGGAAGTACTCCCAGCTGATCAGTAGAGTGGCTCAAGGCTGCAGCAGGAGGGTTTGTATTGGATGCTTTGTGCTCCACTGTCTCTCAGAATAACTCATACCGCAGCGGTGCCTGGACAGTGTGACGTGTGTGGTTGTGCTGCTGCCGTGGTCCTGCCAGATGCCTCCTGCTGCTGCTGCCATCATTAGTCATTAGTCATACTTCTACTGTTATTATACACATATGACTATTGTCACACAAGTATACTGTC